TGTAATCCTCATCATCTGCCAATTTTTTCTTCTTGTTAATCCAGTTCTTCAGGTCATCGGAGTCCTGATACAGTTGTTGCAGAAGCAGCGAGTCCTCTAGCAACCGGCGTCGCGTAGCAGCCCTTTCCCGGAGGGCATCCCGCCGGGCCAACAGCTACAAAAGGCCACAAGCAAACTCAGTCAGCAAAACCAAACATGGACGCATGCGCTTTACTGCCCACCCTGGTCTCCATGACCTCAAGCCTTTCTCCGAGGCCAGTTCACAAGCTGCCCTGTGAACATCTGGAGCCTTGGACGTACCCCATCCCGTATAGCAGCAATGTTCTCCGAATCATAATGGTCATTGTTGATCAGTTTGCTTGCTGTCTTGTCTAAGGTCTGAAAAGAAAAAAGAGAAAGAGAATACCGTGAGCTTTTATGAATGAGAATTAATATGACAGACATCATACTGAGCTCTGTGTTACTTGAACGTTGATAGTGAAGATTTTCAATTTGGTTGTTATTGTGAATGCTGGCAGGGGTTGTATGTATATGTATTTAAAAGCAGCGCTGTCCTAGAAGACAGTGAAAGTTAGTTACGCTGTATATTGGATCACTTAAGTCTTCTTCATACTACTCTATTTAATATATTAAACAGATTTCAGACTGGTCCTACCTAATAACCCTATTCAAAGCAAGTGAGAGAAAGTCCCATCATTCTCGTTTCTGAGGAGTATTCTGCTTGTACTTCTTCCAAAACAGATGTGTTAGTTTTCTGGAAATCTAAGGTATAATCGATTCTTCATCAAAACTGCAATTCAAAGGCATCAGTTCTTCTTTTGTCTTCTTTATTAATTTTCCAAGCTTCATATGCATATGAGGTAGTTGAAAATGCTGTGGATTTTGTCAGGTGCACTTCAATCCTCAAAATGATGTTTTCACTTTTTAACACTTTTAAAAGGTCTTTTGCAGCAAATTTGTCCATGCAAAACAGCACAGTACAACAAAATAACAGATGAGTAGTTCATGGACAGTAATATTAAAGGGAGAAAAAGAAATCTAAATAATACATTTTCAAACTCTGAAATAATGATTCTATATTGAAAACTGATCCAATAGATTCTAGTTTTACATTGGGGGGGAAAGATAAAATTGTTAAAAAAGTCCTGACATCCTGAAGTTTCTGAATGTGCTTGCTAGAACCAAAAGTCTATTGTCAAAAGTGATTCTGACTTTATTTTACTCTATTTCCTTTTTAAAGAATAATACTGTGATATTTGATGTGTATAAAACAAAACAAAACCAATGGTCATTGAGTCAATTCCAACTCATGCTGATCACAAAAGTGTTAGAATAAAACTGTGCTTTGTAGGGCTTTTAATGTTCAACTCTTCCCCCCCCCAACCCCCCACCCCCGAAGATTGGCAAGTTTTTATCTGGGAAACCTGTGAATGGATTCAGACCATGAACCCCAGAAATTCTGCCTTCTGGGGTCCCTGTTACTTCCTGTCTGCTCACTCAGTTGTCTACTTGCTCCCTGTCTTGGTAGATAGAACAGGTGCAAATCCAAGCATTACCCATATTGATGCTGATGCTTGTCCCACATTCCCAGCAGGACTGTCCAGTTGTTGTGGTTTTGTTTAAGGAAAGTGTCATATGAGATGGCTTATGCAAACATAGATCCTGACACCCAAGCCAGTGCTCATTTCTTACTGTGATTTTCTCTTCCTGGGCCGTAAAAGCTTCCTCAAAGTCATCATGCTTCTGAAGCAGGGCTTCTGCACTTCCCAGAGAGTTCCCCAGATCCTCATTGTCCAGGAAGGCCTGTGGAAGACAAGTGGTTGCATTGTGGTATGCCTCACTAGTGAGTAGCCCTCCCCTTTGTACATCCTTCAGAGGAGGAATACAAAGAGACATGGAAGGGGCTGGAGAGAAAGTTGGGAGTTAGCACAATGATGGGTGCAGACCTTAGTAAATGGAGACAAACCTCAAACACTAGGTGTTTAAAACCTTCTTCTATTCATTCCATATAACTTTCTCACTGAGTCTGCCTCCTCAGCATTCTACTAATCAATATGGGCACACTTTTTCTCAAAGCCACTGCAGGAGAACTATTTACTTCCAAAAATCCTTTTGTTTTGTTTGTTTAGAAATCCTTTTCTGATTAACCTTGCCTGACTCACCATGATTTTCCCTTCCAGAGCCCTTAGCCATTTGATATTAATTTTGCCTTATTTCCCATTGTTATACCAGCTTCTGTGCTATGTGTTTAACTATTTCTCTATGCATTTGTCCATGAGGAAATTGTTAGGTCCTCATACAGAGGTCCTATGTCTTCTACTCATGGATTGCCCTCAAATTCCCAGAAAAAAATTGAGTCCATAGAAATAGGTATTAAAGTAGTGATGGTGATCACACTGAGAAAAATTATTTCTGGAGATTGTCTGGACTTGTCCTGTTACCTCTTGTCTGCTCATCCAACTGTCTACTTGCTCGCTGTCTCGGTAAAACAGGTGCAAATCCAAGCATTGCTCATATTGATGCTGACGCTTGTCCCACAGTTCCAGCAGAGCTGCCCAGTTATTGGCCAATGTTTCCATCTTTGGAAAGGAAGAGAGAATGTAACAGAACATAGTTAGTTAATTTAATATATAGTAGTGCATGTATTGTGTATCCAATAACTGCAAGGCTCATAGAAGGATGCAAACATGAACAACAAAATGGCTCTTATTTTAAAGACGCTAACATCTAAGCAAAATATTATCTTAAAAACTCAATCTCATGATTATTGAGTTGCTTCTGACTAATAGTAATCCTATAGGACAGAGTGAAACTGCCCCTGTGGGTTTCTGAGACTGAACTCCTCATTTGAATAGAAAGCCTCTTCTTTCTCCCACAGAGGGACTGGTGGTCTCAAACTGCTGGCCTAGTCATTATCATCACAAAACATAAGCGTTACACCACCAGGGCTCCCTGCAACTGGATTAGAGCAACAACCAAATAAAAAAAGTCACTGCCTTTGAGTCGATGTCAACTCATAGCAAATTGGATAAAGGCCACAGAAGAGACTTGAGGCTCTTAATATGTAGAAAAGAAGATTGATTTTTATTGGGATAATTAAGTCGTAGAAGTATGGAAAGAATCTTCCAAACAGATTTAATGAGTGGTGAGGATCTGGTTTATAGAAGGATGTGACATCCCGAGAAAATGATGTTATTAGCACTTAACATTGCTTTTAGATTCTGTGATACGCTTCAGAGACAAGTTAAGTGTCAATTATTTTGCATTTTATTCTACAAGTGATTAAGAACCATCGATGAAAAGGAAATTGAGCTACTAAACTAATAAAATTAATTTTTTTAAAACTTTGTCGCTACTCAAGCCTGTTCCCAAGCAATTCTAGTTAAGACCAGAATTCTCTCATTTAAAGAATTTTCTGTAGCTGAAAACTCTCTAGATACTTAATACCATTTTAAGAGCCACAAAATAAAGAAAAATAAGTTAGATTTGAGGTTATAGAGGAGAGAATAAAGCAGTACAGGAGTCTACAAAGTGTTTGGTGCTGTGCTAGGCACCATAGACATCTAAAAGGAGCAGTCCTCACAGAATATACACTTTGTGATGAGAATGGAGAAATGACAATACAGAACATTTGTGGCCACATGAAACGTAATAGCATTTCCAAATTGGGTAAAATCAGAGGGTTGATTTAAGAAAAGGGGACAAAACCGTGAGAAACCACAAAGCATGACTGAGAATTCCAAATGACCCAATTTAATTAAAGAATGACTTATGTCAAAGAGTACCGTGTGAAAGTTGGGTAATATTGTTATCATGGGTGGAACGATCTGATCCTTTCTCATTTGAAGATTACCATGCTATTATGGAAACAAGTGAAGGATAACTATGTCAGTAAAATTCCACAAACTGTTCATCTAGGTTACCTTTTCCTGAACTTCCTCCGAAGCTTCATGACAGGCATCCAGCAGGGCTTGACCAGTTTCATCAGCAGATTGAAACCGGTCATCATACGAGTCAATCTCATGCTATGGACACAGAACAAAATATATCAAAATGCCGCAAGTAATCTGATTGGCACCCTCTTAATGGGCAGACATTCCTCTGCACCTTATGCTGCTGATGCCTGTCCAAGAGTGCTTCCCCTCCAGCCACATCTGTAGGTAGCTCATCCGCATTGATCAGAGAAGTCTTCTCCTTCATCCACCCTGACAGTTCATCATAGTCAGATAAGAACCTCTGGTACCTATGGAAAGTGTAAGAAAGCAGATGTAAACGGATTTTGAGCAGAGAGGGATTTGTTATGAATAGGTACCATCAGTTCTGTTCCAACACATAGTAACTGTGAAGTACTGCTATGAAATACTGCCAGGTGCTCTACCACCCTCACAATTGCTCCTATGCCCAAGCCCATGGTTGCAGCCCCTGTGTCTGTCAATCTAGCTGAGGGCCTTCCTCTCTTCCACTGCCCCTCTACTTTACCAAACACGGGATCTTTCTTAAGGGACATGTCCAAAGTCTTGCCACCCTTTTTCAAAGGTAGTCTTATTTGTCCTTTTGGCAGTCCATGGTACTTTCAATATTCTTCACCAGCATCAAAATTCAAAACATTTTCTTTCTACTTGAGTCCTTGGCACCAGCTCCTCATTTTTTCTCCCTCTCTCCCATTAGATACATCTTCTGAGACACCTTTCTGTTCTCTAAACAGCAGATCATTTTAACTATTCCCACAACCCAAGGACTCCCCTGACATTTATATCTAATGTAATCAATCTATCTTTATTACTGTCCCACAATCCATCTATGTCTGGCCAGAGATTGCAACTTTATGAAGTAAATGAAGGTAAAGTGTCTCTTTCTCTTTTATCCCAAGGAAAAATCATATTTCCAGATCTTGAAACCAAAAATTACATGAAGTGGCATCAAGTGCTCACAAGTAAATAAGCACATGGTATGTAAACAATTGGAACTATCTGGTGGGAAAGGGTTAGGTAAAGGAGCACTTCATATATCTGCACTCCTAGTTAACCTTAATAATGACAATAAAAGCTACTTATGTAACAAAACTATATGTTCAACATTTAGTTTTAGATCATAACAATAAGAGGAATATTTCCATCTGCTGGTTGACTAAACTAACTATAAGAATTAGTCACTGAAATGATGGTTATTTAGCAGTGTTTTGGGTAGCTTGTTAACCCAAAGTAATGAAATACTTTTATATTTATTTTGATGTTATTTTTCTTTGGGATTTTATTTTAGCTCCATTGCTAGAGAGAGGATTGGAAACGTCCCTTCAGCTCTTTGTCAGCTTCCTGGGCTACTTTATAGCCACCTACAACTATAAACACAAGAAATAGTCGTGCTGAGGGAATATGTGATGCTGAGGCTTATGACAGCCTGGGAAGAACTTCCTTGGACGATTACAACCATTTTTTCCATCGAGGATTCGAAGGCTTGGGCTCCTGGTTACTATACTCCTTTCACTCTTTCATTTCTGCTTTTGATATTATACCTGAGCTCTGCAGAGATTGATAGCTAAAACAATAAGGAACAAGGATTCCCCACCAATAAGAAGCCTGCAGCTTAGCATATCTGGTGGTAGCCAAGGCACGGATATGCTCCCAGTTGGAAATGAGATCCTCTTTCATCTGCTGTATCTGAGATTCATCCGAAGGATGAGAAACCTTCAGTTTGTCTGCTTTGGCACATAATTCTTTTACCTTTGGGATGAAAAAAAATAGCATAAAATCCAAGCACTCTAACTCCTCCTATCAAAGACATGTGTAGTGTGCATGTGCATGCAAGTGTGTGTGGCATAACAAAGCAATAGCATGCATTATTTATTTAAAGCATTATATTAATATACTAGTATTTTGTATTAACAATCATGCATATTTTAGCTAACATTTATGGTAAAAGTTTTGATTTTATATTCCCATTCAATACATTCACTATAAAGCAGATATAATTCTTTTTACTAATGTGAAAACTGAGAATTAATTTATTAGCTCATCCAGTAAGTGACATAATCAAGGTTTAGGTCCAAGGTTGCTTTTCCATACATTTCTGCACTATATTCTTATATATTATTATGTGACTCAGAAACACAATTTTTTCCCAGTTGAATAATAAAAGTCTAGTAATGCTAGGTAATCCTTGAGGAATAGGGTTAGTTTCTAAAGCCAAAATGGAGACATGGGTGACTTTCCACAGACTAATATTAGGTTTTCTCAGTATAAATAGTTATAACCAAATTATGTCTAAGGTTTGAAATTTGTTGTCAATTTTTATGTAAAAAGACAAAAAAGCAAAATCAAAAAAGAAAAAGTAGTAGAATAATAGAACTTTTATTTTTTCCCCCAGAAACAGATAGAGACAGAACTATGGTGAAAAACAGAAAGTGCTGATTTTTCTGTGAGCTGACTTCATGGTCATGTTCAATTGAAATAAGTTTGAGCTATGGATGAAGTTTTGAGAGAAATAACTAAAGAATAAAGATAGTTCAAGAATATTGAATGACTTCAGATCTTAGAAGAACTGCTCTATTTTCAACTAAACAGTAGATAGATCTATAAGAGGAATAATACCACTAGTGAGGTATGCACATCTTAGAATAATCAACCATTTGAGATAAAAATTACAGCACTTATCCAGGGATAAAGTTCAGAAGGGTTAAGAAAGAAGGAAGACTGGTGACAGGGAGGGCGGGGGATAAATGATGTGACATTATAGGGATTGTGACCAATGGTATGGGGGAAAATGTACATGACTTTTTTAATGTAAAATTTATTATCTGCTGGGTAAACTTTCATCCAATTCACAGTAAAACATTTTTTAAAAATTACAAGTATTCCTGAAAATAGAAATATTTTACTGAGATTAGGAAATCAATGATGAAAGTATTTTTTTTCAATTGTGAGTTATATGAGAATAAAACATAAGTCTACATGAAATATATATGTACATTGGAATTATCATAGAAAATGCACTCATGTTTTTAAAGTAACAGAGTAGAATGATACAATATATTTCAGTGACACGGAACTTCTCTTTTGTTGCAAATATAATTAATTTCTGTGTCTTTTGGTGGTGTAAACAAGATGGCCACCATCTGTCTCTTCAAGGTCAGCAGGGCAGCCACTTCTTGAGTGATTGCTTACCTTGTCTTCCATGACTGCAAGGTTCCTCTCAAGTCCCTTGTGACTGTGGAACAGTGCCTCAGAGCTGACAAGGTCTTTGCCATAGTCCTCAGAGATGAGAAGAGGCTCTTTCTCCTTGATCCACTGGATGGCTTCAGTCACATCCCTGCCGGGCAGACATATGAGCTCCAACAAAAGAAAATAAGACCCCCGGACCAAGACAATAAAGAATCATCATACAGCAGGGACTATCCCTGCTCACACAGGATGCCATTTACCCTTCCCTCTTACATTTTAGCAGAAAGTAATGAAAAGGGTATTTCTACCGAGAAATGGGATCGATATGAGATAGAATTGGCTTGACAGTTGTGATAGGTCTGGGCCAGGATTCTCAGTAGCTCGGCAGTAATTCCCCATGATGTGATCTAACATAAGGGGATCCACTCTGTGAGCAGCCAGGAGTTGCAGTGGAGGTAGAGTCTCCCTTGATCAGGTCCCAGCCTTGATACGGTTGTGGCGTGCTCCATTTTAAGTATCCATGCACCCATGAGAAAGTTTGTTACTTCTTCTAGGTCTGGTTCCTGCATCTGTATGCTGTCTTCCTTCCATATGATCTGCTGATCCCAGTCATCATCAGTGGACTATTGACCTTGGATACATTTGACTTTGCATTCATCAGCCTATGTTCTTCAAGCTTTTTTCCCCCTGCTTTCTGGCTCTTAAGCCTTCCCATCATCCACCACCACCCTACACTGAAGAAGCCTCCTGATGACAGCTGACCTAGGGACTTGAATGGACTGAACTTACCCATTTCTACAACTATGCAAGCGAGCCATTGTTTGATGCACATTTGTTTCAATTTGCATGCACATGTGTACCACTGATTTTACTTCTCTTGAGAGTCCAGCCCAGCATAATGGCTACTATGCATTTTTTTCTGCAGATGTTTCTATCAGTAATTTCCCCAATACAGTGTTTACTGCCTTAGGTTTCAATCTCTAGAAGCACAGTCGTACTGGAAGCCACAGTTTTCTTAAAGCTGCTCCTTCTCTTGCTGATCCAAAGGCAAACACTTAAACATCTTTGCTTTGAATAGTAATTATTTAAGGGAATATACAGAAGTTAACAAAAAGAATAAGTATGGTCAAATTTCACAATTTTTCAGAGCACAGTAGCTAAAGTCATACCTTTTAAATCGCTGAAGGTCAGCAGCATCAGAAAGGGTTTTCCTCCGCTGGAGAGCCATACCATGAAGACGCTCCCAGGCAGCGTTTACCTCATCCTGCTTTTCCTTAATCAAAGGCAGTTGAGGGTGGTTCTCCTGTGGGCAGAAAAAAAAATGCTGGAATTATACTGAAAAGGGATTATACCAGAAAGGATTTAACCACTTATCAACTCATGCCAATCCATAGTATCTAGAGTTGGATAATAATGATCAGAGCCAGTCAATGAACTTTAGTTTACTCTTGTTCCCAGCTCTGGTCTCATTCACATGACCAAGGTCAAGAAAGCTAACCTGCCAGATATCATATCCTGTGTGTTCAGTAGTCTTCCGGCCTAATAACCAAGGTTGGGTTTCCAGCATTAGACCAGCCTAATTACAAAGGTTTCCCAGCACTGAGGTAATTTTCAGAACTCTGCTGATGCCTGCAAAATCCCTTTGACTATCTGGAGAAATCAAGGAAATGAAGAACTTATTCTCTTTATAGAATCCTATTTGATTTTCCAAAAGAATAATACAAACATATGTATACATGTACAATTTTGCACATTTCATTCATGTGCAAACTGTCTGAAGCCATGGGGCTTCAAGACTCCAAGGTTCGACTTTCAGCATGAGAATTCAGATAGCTGGCAATGTTTAGGTGTTCCCATATTCTGGTTTCCTACTCTGACAACTCACATTGACTTGCCTTGTCACTGTAGCAATTCCAGGGTGGGTGGATCACATTCCTATTTTGAATGGGTGGTGCTTTCTGTCTTAATTGGAGATGCCTCACTCCAAAAGCGCATAACATTTACTGGACCTATTGGCATGGCTTCCTATGAACCTTCTAGTGTGCCTCCCCTCCTTTCAAGGGGTGTGGTGTTTTTGCTAACCCTGTGGATCTTGGATGACCTAGGGATTTACTTGAACCCAAAGAATGGTACAAGAGGCATTTAAATTTATGCCTTTACCCTCCTGAAACATGCAGAAAGAACTACAGTCTATAGAATAATGAGTTACATGTACATGATACCTATTTCTCCCATAATTGGCTATATTGTGCTTTCCCGTTTATGGTTTAAATTCTGACTGAAGATAAATGATTACTCAAGTATGGAATGCCTTGCATTTATAGAAGTCCTGATATTTTAGTGGGTTAAGCATCAGGCTGCTAAATAAAATGTTATGGGTTTGAACCCTAGATGTGGCAACATTAGCAATTCTACCATGTGATATAAGTACACTTTGAGTCAGGATTATCTTCACAGTAGTGGGTTTGATTTTTCTCAATTGCATTATTTCTTTCCACAATTAACTTTTGCTTGATTAGAGATTGCAAACTTATTTAAACATTCCCTTAAACAAATGAATATAAATCTTCCTCCTTTCCTCTCCCCTAGTTACCCTCCCCCACTAAAAATTCCATAACATATCCCTACACCTAACTTTAAAAAATATTTTCTGGTACATCAATCTTGTTTGTCTTCCCAAAGAATGGCCATTGCATAAAAATGAGTACTGGAGGATTGCAGTGTAGAAGCTAGGGATGTGGACCCCCTGTTTTCTTACTGTTTCTTGTCTTCCTCCAATCTTTATTGGAGATGATTCCATAGGGCATGGGTTCCCTTTAAAAGTTAGAAACCTACCCTGGAGTGATTTTGTGACTTTCAACTTACCTCGGCGCACTCATTGGCATACTGGTTGATTCCATCCACTCTCCCCTTTCGAGCTGCTAGATCCACTTGGAAGTCTTCAAACTTCTTATGTAGAACCTCTGTGCGCTCCCAGTCCTCACCCAGCTCCACTGATGTCACTATAGCCTCCTGAAGATATAGGCACGTTTATTGAGTCTGCAGCAAGTATTGAGGGATTTAAAACCCAAGACACCTGCCCACATTCCCAGAATAACATAGATAGACATGCTGATCGGGAGAACATTTTCCAGGAAATGTAGACACAAGGGTATACTACCTTACCCAGGGGATATTGTGCTTTGGGACAATCCCTTAGAACGACCTGGAGCAATGTGAACTGGAGTCCCTGGTAGCATCATTGTTTGGAAGAAATTCATCCTGATTTTACTCAAGTCAACATACTGAGGAGTATCTACAAAAGCAGTGTGCTAAGTTCTTACTTGGATCAATTTAGTTCCAACTATCAGATTATTCTTCAGGTGTTCAGAAAATAGACATAAGCTCTATGGTACAAGGGTCTTGGGAATGCTTGACCCAGAGTAAGAGCAAAGCCCTCTGAGGAGTTCAGGATTATGGGAAATAGATCATTGTACAATTTACAGCTTTTATATTGCTTCTCCACATTCAGATTCATAAGTTTAGACTCATCTTCTACAAAGTTAAGAATCTCCAGAATAGTCATAGGTGTTTGTCAAAATCACTACCTACCAAGAAAAGACCTTTAGAAACAGACCTTGACTTCTTAACAAATAATCTGCAGTAAGTTGCTATAGGGTGCCCGGGATAGATGGTTTTAGGCCTAATACCCAGGTGTTTGTTCCTGTACCTTATCACCAATCCATTCCAGAATGTCAGCACACTCCTGTAAGTACTGCTGGAACTTCAGGGCCCGCAGAAGCAGGGTGCCCTTCTCCTTGGTCAACTCTAGCAACAGGTCCCACAGGTGGCGCAGTTCCTCCAGATGGACCTTTTCGGAAGGGAGGCACAACCACTCAGTACAGACATTGTCAAGCAGGTTGAATGGGAGACTTGGTCAGAGAGTGACATGAACAAAAATTTCTCCTCCAAACACTCTCCATGCATTAATTGCTCAGGACAGAAATTTAAATATTTAAAGGCAGAAATAAGATATTCATATATGGCAATAGCCATTCAATCAAGCCAAATATGATCTTACATATGACATTTTTTTTCTGGTTCTTTAAAAAAAATTATTTTATTGGGGGCTCGTACAATTCTCATCACAACTCAAACATACATCCATTGTGTCAAGCACATATGTATATTTGCTACCCTCATCATTCTCAAAATATTTTCCCTCCACCTCAGGCCTTAATATCAGTTGCTCATTTCCCCCCTCCATCCCCAATCCCCCCTCATGAACCCTTCATAATTCACAACTTATTATAGTTTTATCATAAGTTACACTGTCTGACGTGTTTTCCCCCCCACACACACCACCACCCTCTTCTCTGCTGTCCCTCCCCCAGGGAGGAGGCAATACCTAGATTCTTGTAATCGGTTCCCCCTTTCGATCCCACATTCCCTTCACCCTCTAGACCTCTCCTCTTTCTTTGGTATTTTAAAGCGTTTGGTGACCAGCAAGAGATGGGGTTCATGGGAGAATTTGAACTGGAGCTTGGAGAACAGATAGAATTTTAGTAGACAGCGAATGGACAAAGGTTTTTACAGCATAGTTGGAAAGTAACACCTCTACAACACAGAAACAACTTGGCATGACCTGCTTTCTGAAGGGAAAGGAGATTCAGTGTTAAGGTGTAACTAGGAAATAAGTAGCAGCAAAGCAATAAGGGAATGACGAGACCAAACTCTCCTACAATGTAATAAGGAGGAGGGTGATCTCATCTGTTATGGGTCAAATTGTGTTTCCCCAAAAGATGTTATGTTCAAACCATTGGTACATGTGAAATAGGCCTTTGCAATCACTTTTGTAAATTAAAATGAGACCCGCAGGGTGAGCTCAAAGGAACTCTGGTGGTATAGTGGTTTATGTGTTTGACTGCTAATCACAAGGTCAGCAGTTCAAACCCACCAGCAGCCCTGTGGAAGAAAGGAAAGACTTTCTGCTCCCGTGAAGATTTACAGCCTCAGAAATCCAAAGAGCAAGTTCTACTCTATCCTGTAGGGTTGCTATGAGTTGGACTGACTCTATGGCAGTGAGTGAGTGAGTGACTGACTGACTGACTGAGTGATCCAATCCATTAAGTCTGGTGCCCTATTAAGAAGAAGAGCTGAAACGCAGAGATAACACAGCCATGTGAAGACAGAAGCAAAGATTGGAGAATTCGTGCCACACGTCGAGGATCATCTGAGGCTACCGGAATCTGAAAGACTCCAGGAAAGGCCCTTCTCTAGAGGATTTAGAGGTAGGTTGACTCACATGATACCTGGATTTTAGACCTACCTACTTCTGAACTGTGATAAAATACATCTGTTACTTTTAAGCCCCTCAGTTTGTGTAATTTACTACTGTGTAATTGGTAAGTAATAATATACTATTCAATGACAGATTTTGTATTATAGCTCTTCCTTCTAGGAGCACAAAGATATTCAATTATTTTATCTTTCTTGTCCCAATTCAACTAGCAGATGATAGGCAGAAGCCCTTGCCCGAGGTTAGGTGCATCAAGCTTTGTACCTGTAAAAATGTCTGAAAATATAATCAGCAAATAGAAACTTCTCCTCAAGAACCATACCATACAGTTACCTTTGTATCCTCGTGGGCAAAATGCCCCTCAGCAAATCGGACTTTCCTGATTTCTTCCAGTTCAGGAATGACCCTTGATTTTGCTTGCACCTCTGCTTCAAAGGATTCATGTTTTTGGTATTTCCCCTGCATTTAGAAATCAGTATTCATGGTTAATGAGCCTAGAAGGAGACCCGAAAGAGGTCTTTGAAAAGGAGCAGGTCTTTCTGTGTCTCTTCTTGCTTTCAGACAAAACTGCTCCTTCCCCAACCCACCGTCAGTGATAACCTAAAACACATCTAGAGAGGACATGTACTGAAAGGAAAAAATCGTTTTAAATAGAAGTTTTCAAAAAGTTCTAGAATGCAAGTCAGAGACCAAAGAGGAGGACTTTTGCCTAGCCCCAATTGCTTTGGGAAACTTCTTGGTAAATGCCCTATTATTTTAAAACTCAATTGACTTCTTTAAGAATAAAAGATTGTAGCTTATAGTTCTTCTCTGCAGGAAAAAAATACTAATTGTTTTAGAAGGTAGAGTACAAATAGGATGATTATAATAATGGCTTTACAACATGTTTTTAGGTGAGAATCTTGCATGCAAGCCTCATTTGTTGTTGCCTTATGTCAATTAACCCCTTCACAATATGTATTGACTTTGTTCTTTTAGGGGTATTCTCTTTCCAAAGCCAATTGTTCATTTTCAGGTGTGTGACCCTTTTCTCTGAACTGACTACGCTACATCCACACACTATAATACTGGCAGAATAGGTCGGGGTGGGGGGTGCTTCCACCCGACTTCTCACTCTACGACTTCTCATTTGGACTAACAAGGAGCATGAGTGGCCACATGGGGGGAAATGACTACCCTGGTTACATATGCTGTTCTGCAGGGCATGCAGAACCAGTGCTTCAGAGATTTTGATGTGCCTCCAGCTCAATTGCATCCTTAAAGGCTTCAGATATTGAATTCACGTGGTGTTGCATGAACTCCTGAACTTTTGACATTTCGTGTTTTGCCCTTAGTTTAATTGCAGATGAATATTGCATCCATCAAATGCTCCCTAGAATGACATCTTTTTTGAAATAAGAACATGAGGCTTGAGAAATTGAAGTTAGGAGTTATTCAGAGGCAGAATTACTGGCCCTAATAGATAGTCTAATCTTTTTATTACTTTGTCCTTCCTGTGGTTAATCAGATATGATATTATAATAATTTAAACTCAATTCATTTTAAGAAAGAATTATTGTTTTCAACAGCTCACAAACTGCCTTCTTCTCTGCCTCCACCCCTCCCTCTGTCTCACTCTTTCAAAGTCTTACACTTATATTTAATAAAGAAAAATGTACTTTAGGCTCTTTTCTTAGTTAAATTTCTTCAATTTTCTACTCAACTAGGTGATTTCTTTATAAAAATGGAATCAATGGAACTGAATGACCTGTATGTTAGTTGGGTCTTCATAGCTTTTATCATTTGCGATTTTGAGTTTTTCCAAGATCCACTTTTCCAGATCATCTGCATCCCTCCTAAAAACCTGGTAGTGATAGGACTCTTCAAGCTTCTGCCCCCTCTCAGCTACCAGCTCCTTGAACCTCTGGTAACGTGCCAACACCTCTTCACGCCTTTTCTGGATCTCTTCAGCTGTTTCCAGCACCTTTGGTCCACTGCTCTCCATAACCTGTAAGTGAAAAAGCTTTTATCTACTGCTAGTTCTAGTTAGAAAGCATGCTGCCCCCTTGATGCCTCCCAAAGTGTTTATTCATATTAGTACTACATTCCAATTTCTTCAGTTCTTTGAAATGGCCTTAAACATCAGACGTTTACAGTGCAATTACATTATGTAAACCCAATCCAGCTACAACATAGACCAATAATTTTCGATTTTCCTGGAAGCTCTTCCAACTTTTGACAAAACTTTGTGTCAACATTCATTGTTAATGTTTATAGATATAATTAATTTGGAAGACACATTTAAATTAGTAAAATCAGAATTTCAGATGAATAAAAATGAAATGTAAGTTTATTGCTTTCAAAGGCTAAAGAAGTGTTGACAGGCAGTAATTAGGCTAAATTGAATTTAACAAATAACTTGAAATTGCCTTCAATTAATGAAATGACTGATATTATACACAAGGAGTTGGAAAATTTTGCTTTCTTCATACTTAAAAGCACACCTCATATAGTGTTTACTCTTCATGCATGTTCTTCGAGGGCACACAAATCAATCTATCTGCTACTCAATTATCACAAAGTTTAAATTATTTGGATCTCAATAATTCTCAGTACTGTTAAACAATATAATTATCCATTTCCTACAGAGCGATCCCATCTGTCTGTTAACAATTCTAGCAAAGTCCTGTTAGAGCCCACCACATTCACCTCGATTTAGTTATTGTCCAAGTTTACTTTACCCAGGGCATTCAATATGGACTTTAAACTTTAGTCTCTTTTTACTTCTAAAAATAATAGCTACTTTGTGATGCCCACTGTTAGTGTGGCAATAGAATTAAATAATTCTGAAGAGACTCCTATTTCTATTGAATTTCATATTGTTATGAATTACTTTATTGTCCTCTCTGAGAACTGATCTTGGAGCTGAATAGACACAATGTCAAGTTTATTATTCCAGGTGAAAGATTTAGCTGTATAGACACACAGTCAAACCTATTGTTTTAAATGAAACATTAAAAGAAAATTTAAATTTAAATCATTGAAATTTAAAAAAAAATGCAACCACACATTTTAAAAAGCAATGGTTTTTTTAATCTATTTTAAAGTTTTGTGATAAATATATGTATAAGAGAAGAACCCCCAGTGGCACAGTGGTGAAATGGCTAACTCCATGGAAGAAAGATGTGCAGTCAGTTTTCGTGACCATCCTATGGGTAACTATAGTCTATCATATAGGATCACTAGAAATTGGAAACAATTCAAGCTAACATGGCTTTTCATTTATGTAACTAATTGCTTGTCTTACAACATGCTTTCCACTTTAAATGCAGTGAAATTTGTTATGTTTCTCATGTATAATTTTTACCTTTATCCATTTCCAAGTTTTCCTTAAAAGGAACTCAGTGTCTCCTTAACTATGAGAACTCTTTCCCCTTCCTCCCCATCTATCCGGAGTCATGACTAAGAAATGGGCTTCTATACACTTCTCAATTCTGGCTATTTCGAATAAGTACAATCATACAATTAAACTGATCACAATGTAACATTGTACTGAGTGGAAAGAAATCATTTCCAAAAAGTCAGAAACCAATTATCAATGTCCTGGTCAAATTATTGCAGAAAGTTCAAATCATAGAACATCCCAAAATATATGAATGGCAAATTGTACTGAAAAGAATCCTATACTCACAGTCTCTTTTTGAAGCTGTTCCATTTTTTTCAAGCTCTAGAACTGGGCAACATAAAATATATCCACTAGAAGGAAAGGAGATATTCTCATGGAACTGTATAGTGCAATTCAAGTAAAGATGACAGACAACGTGAAATGTGTGGCAAAGACCCACAAAAAAGCTTTGGGTTCAGAATCCCGCCAGCCATCAACAACAACACTATCTCCAGGAGACAGATTCTGCTGAGGCAGTTGCTAATGTTCACAGATGCTAGGTGACTCAGCAGTTCTGAGAGACTATGGCTCTTAAAGTTTGTAACAGGAAGGACTCCAAAAAAATACAAAAAAAGAATCTTGTTTTTATTTTAAGTGAAAAATAAGTAAGAAAAGCATAGTTAAAGATGTGAGATTAAAAGGCTATGCTATGATTGTGTTTTGTTTCTTTGATTAGTGCTAGATTTACCAGTATCTGGGTTGACTATAGGAACTCAGGGCAATGTCGATGCTTATTTCAGTAAGTCTGTAGGCAATATAGCTCATCAAAACCCATTTGCAGAAGTTTAATATCCCTTTAGTCAATAATAAAACTTGATGTTTGCTATAGACCCCTCTCTCAAAATAGGGAAAAATATATTTCTGGCCTCATAAATAGTTTTGTCTGTAATTTTATTTACCTCTACCTCTAATCATTTAAATGAAGGAATGAAGGAAATATGACAGATGATAGTATTAATTTGTACTTTATGAAACCAAAATGTGGGTATCTCATTTTGAAAATTAAGTAATACATTTTTTTAAAAACCACATGGAAATGAAAATAAATTTTAAAAATTGAAATAAAACTTGTATTATTTTTGTCAGAAGACAAGGATGAAGAAAACTTCTAACAACAAAGTTCCTTTAAGCAACTTTACAAGAGTGAAGCAAAGAAGAAAATTCTGGGATAATTTTAGACATCCCTATCAAACAGTGAGTTAACCATGCCAAGCCTTAGTCTAATGTGAACTTTAATTCTAGTAATGTAGCTTTCACTGCACATACGAGGAGATTTACGTTTTCCTGTTTGGTTGCCTTCCCCTTGGACCATCTCATTCAGAAAACCTTAGAGAACTTTATGTTTTCTTCTTGAAAATCTAGTATGATTTTTCTTTTCCTGATGGTTTCACTATATTTAGATCAAATGTATCTAATAAAAAACAGGAACAGCAATCATAGTGACTGAGCAGTCTCCAGGATGAGAGTGATATAGAGAAAGCACTCTATCACTTGTCCTGAGAAACTTCTAAGGTTGAGGTGTGACTTTATTTGACCTTTTACCAGATCAGAATGACCATCTATTAAATATTTAGTGTATGTAAATTTACATACCGATATAATTAATTTGCAGTAATTTCTAGTCTAGAAACTTCTGCAAAGCAGGAATTATTATCCCCGTCTTCTAATGTAAGTGAACAATCTTTGAGAGGTGAAGTCTAATTGCATGGTCACGTACCTTATAAGTATTTAAACAGAGTCAAACCCATGCCAATATGATCAACATGCTGTCTTCTCGTAGACCATCGCTATTTCTGCCCACCCCTTTTCCTGGATCATCTCAAATATCACCACGTGATTGAAGAAATAATATAGTCTGACCCATCAGGATTGGTGACTATGAAATATAATGAAAGGAGGTAAGAGTTGTAATGTTTAGAGCAAAAAAGCAATGTGGAAGTCCACAGGAGACTCTTGCGGAGGAGACGTTTCATAGATAGCAACCTTCTGTTTTCTGAATTTTCACCCATTACCCTGAGGAAAGTTCCCTGGCAATATTTGTTTTGACAATGTTCTGTACTTTAATCTGTCAGCCGTTGATGGAGTTCAGTACTATGCTGTCCTCCTAGGTCAAAGCACTGGCCATTTCCCAAGCTCTAAGGATCTTTCTCTCATTATCAGTACAAATAATTGTAAACAAACAAAACCCTCAGAGTTAGTGAAGGGAAGTAATGGGGCAACTTTACACTCTTCTAGACTACACCCGGGGGCCTCTGACCATCTCCGTGTCGTTTCTATGATCCCCAAAGAAGGCTTGTTGGCTCTTAACATTAGAGACTCTATTTAGAAAAGACTGGGTGGATAGACAAGAAAGAGATCTTTGCTCTTACTAAGGTTTGGGCATAGGGACAATGGAGGAAGACTCAGGTAAATGTGGCAGATACTGTGGAAGTACAGAAACCAGCACTATCTATAGAATCACCTGCTGTACTATTCATGAGTGATATGAGATATAGGAGAAGGCAGAATTGATCACAAGCAACTTCGTGAAAGAGAAGTCTACACACAGAGAGGGTGGAGGCACTGGAGAAGGCAGTTGTGCGTGGCCTTGGTTATCAACTGCAAGCACATTTGGGTTCCACAGAGCAGTTTAATCAGCACAGTCCAGCTTTTCTTAGCCTCTGCTCAGGCGTTAAAAGGTAGCAATGTATTTGACCGTCTCTAAACCTAGAAACACCAGGAAATGCTTTACTTCCAAAATTTCGAATACCCTCAACCTAAGTCACTAAAATTTATACAAGTTTATTGTGAATTATTTTTAGAGTTCAACTGTTTTTAGCTCATTTACTCTTTAGGACAAATTTTTTAACCATAATAAAAATTTAAATTGCATTGAGGGGGGTCATAATTTTATCATTTATTAATTTGAAATTTATTTTTTCTTTCTCCAGAATTAGATCTCTTTTAAAATGTTCTCTAATTGTTACCTAATAAACTGATCAGTGCAGTAGAACTTTTGCAGTTCACCGTATCTACTTTAATCATCACTTCAGATATTCTGAGGTGATTTGCCTCTTAACTCTAACTGCAAATCAATTTGCAATTACAAAAAAGAAATATCATACTTACTCTCTCTCATTCTCCCTTAACTCATTAATTTAATTTTCATTTTTTCTATTTTCTTCATTTGGTTTTGTTGCACTGAGTAGAGGGGAAACAAACCCAAACCACTATGCATCCTTTCTATGCATATAGAACTATACAGTTTAAACAGAAAGAGTTTGATATAATGGAAAACACAGCAAATTTAAAAGGAAACATCTGGCTTAAAGGTTTGGCTATACCACTTAAGAAAAGATCATTCTTAAAACATCATTTGAATTTTATTAAGCAAAAAATGAGAATAGTAACAAATGAATAGACCTTTCCAGAGAATTACTTTAAGTGTTTTGAGAATGATGATGGCCACAAATGTACAAATGTGCTTGACACAATGGATGGATATATGGATTGTGATAAGAACTGTACGAGCCCCCAATAAAGTGATTTAAAATAAAATTTAAAAAAGAATAAATAGATCTCTCCAGAGAATTGTTACATGGCTAAATTCTGTTGGTAGATTAAAAAGCACTTGGTAGTTAAGGCTACCCAATAAAATAATTGTCATGCATGATGTGAATAGTATCAGGCATGTATATTTTAAGTTTAAATCCTGTAAGTGTTAAATAGCCCTGTCACTACTCACTGATTTTGTTTTTGTGGACTCTGTTACATCAATTGTTGTACATGTACCCTAAGGCTGTGGCCCTAACTTCCCAAACCCTGAGAAACATTCACTCAAGCAAGATGTTTGGTCATAGCCAAGTAATTTCAGAATTATGTCCCTTGAATGTTTTACAAGATCTGTGTCTGTATTTTGCACATAGAACTGCATTGGTCAAAAAAATCATCTACTTAAGTAGAAAAATCCTCTGCTAAACCTACTGTGATGGTTTTGTGTCACCATAGCTGGACAAGATTCTCAGTAGTTTGGCAATTGAGATGTAGTAATCCCTGCATGATGAGATCTCATTCAGGGTGTGGCCTGATCCCAACATAAATAGATGCTGTGGACATGCTTGCTTTCTTTCTGCTGGATGTGGATTCTGTATGAAGCTTATCTACCTCCAGTTTTAGAACTTGAACCAATGGTCTGCCTTCTTGCCCACTGATCCTGGGATTCATCAGAGGCCTGCCAACTGACTTGCCAACCTTGGATTTACAGTAGAACACTGGACCTCAATGCTAATCCTTTCTAGAAGGAGCGTCGAGATGTGATGCAGTTGAGCTCTGAATCAAATTTTTTCCTTAAGAAACAACTGAAAACTGATTAATCTGTTCTCAACCTCCAAGCTTTTACCCTAATCTTGCCTTTTTTTTTTTTTGCTTTTATTTATTTATTTTGACATTTTATTAGGGGCTCATACAACTGTTGTCCCAATCCATACACACAATTGTGTAAAGCGCATTTGTACATCGTTTCTCAAAACGTTTTCTGTCCATTGAAACCCCGACATTAGGTCCTCATTTTTCCCCTCCCTCCCCGCTCTCCCCTCCCGCATGAGCCTCTGATAGTTTATAAATGGGTATTTTGTCATATCTTGCCCTGTCTGACGTCTCCCTTCATCCACTTTTTATACAAAACATTACACAGAAATGTCAAAGTAAATAAGTTCAGAGTTCAACAATATAATTTAAATAAGAAACACAACATTAAAAAAGTTTTTATCCATAAAATCAACTGGTCGCTGCTTTTCAGGAGGTTTTCCCTTCTTTGCCTTTTTACACTAGGACCTGGCTGGCTCTCTCTAAAACAAATCTAATACGATCTGTTGTTGGTGATTCCTTAACTGTTTTCTAAAAGGGTTTACTAAATTTTCATCAACAATATCAATAATACAGTTAACCAATTCCTTATCATGATAACCAATTCCTTAACATGATGATTCTTTTAAATAAATTTTTTTCTTAGAATCCATGTTTTTTATCTAAAAACAGTACAAAAAGGCACAAAAACTAAGAAAATTATAGCAAAACGCTTGGAATACAGCCGAAAAATGTTTAGAAATGTGTACTTACAACACCAACTAATGCCGAGTGACCAATACACAAATGGCTTTTGTTGACTAAAATCATATGCGTTGGGTGAGATTCTGATGTTTTGTTTGAGCTCCGTTGCAAAATTTTCTCAACACTTCATGTGGAAATCCAATTATGTGGAGTACTGATACGGACAAGTGCCGGGTTCGACT